ATGTGATTTGCTTAAGAGAACATTTCTGCTCTGCCGGCTTCCTGCCAAATACGCAAAGCAGGTGTTCCGTTAAGATCCAGGGCACAGGGTGGCTGTGACAGTCTACCTCTCCTGATGCTGGAACATGGTGTATGATCACACCATCAGTTTCCCAGAAAAACTCTGACGACAGAAGCTAACCCAGGGTTAGGGAAATGCATATTATTATTACATCAATGTGTAAAGATGATGAAATAAGAATAGAAAGACTATGTAGGTTATGGACTAAACTTAAAATAGGTTTTTACCCCCAGTCTTACTCAACCATTCACTGGCACTGGGAAAACAGAAAAAGAATTCCTGTCTCCCTTGAAGAGGGCAGAGCTCCTGGGAAACACAGATATTTAACAGCAGCATCAGCATTTGGTCTGGACATGAGAAAAGCTTCATAAAGGAGATGATGTTTAGATGTTTAGATGATGTTTAGATGTTTGAAGGATTTGAGACAGAAGGGAGACTTGCATGTCCAAGAGGAGCCTTTCAGGCCAGGCCAGGGCAGGCAGCACATGATTGTAATCCCACTCTTCAGGTGAAGTAGGAAGACAGTGAGTTTGAGGCTGTCTTGGGACACAAAGTGACACTTTCTCAAAGAACAAAATGGAAACAAAGCAACCCAAAGTCTTGTGAGATGTCCCTACTCCCTTTGGAGGGAGATGGCAAGAGTGGACTCATGTTATATCTTGCCATTCACTCCCTTTGGAGCCACTTGGTTCTCATCACACTAGGATTAAAGAAGGAGTACCAATAATCACCTGGAAGACCCTATCTGATGTGTCCATGGCCTCCTGCGCGCTATGCCCCAGCCATCGTGGCCTCTTGCAGTTCTGCAGGACCTTTGCAATCTGCAGTGATTACTCTTTCCTTTCCCCTAGACACCTCCTTAGCTTCTTCCAGGTGTACACTCACACCAATGCATGCAGTGATCTCCAGGAAGCCACTGCCACCTACTCCTGACCAACCTCCTGCTTTATCTATGTCCCACATATCACTACCAGCCAACATTCAGTGTATCTTTATTTATTGTCTGTCTCCTTAAGAAGAAAGTTCACGAGGGCAGGAGTTATTATGCATTTTGCCACTCTATTCTTGCGGGCCTGGAACAGTCCTTGGCATATAGCAGGCAATCAGTAAATATGTGTGAAGTGAGTGAAAGAAAACACTGATGATGAAGGCCAAATGAAGGGTCTGGAGGGAGGTGTTGGGCCAAAGAAGGCCCTGTTTTTAGCTAGGACTAGAGTGAGATAACCCATCAGTTTTCTAGGATAATAATTCTGCTGGTGACAATGGTGGGGTGGTAATGACGGAGGGGTGAGAGGGAGGGACCAGGCAGAAGTTCCTTTAGCAGGGTCATGGCCCAGTTTGACATGGGAGTGAGAGTGAAAGGCAGAGGAAAGGATTTGAGAAGCTCTGAAAGTTAAATGACAGGCTACAACGCGTAGCTGATCTTCTGCATCTGTCTAAAAACTGCTCTTAACTGTTTTCATTTCTCATATACAACAATCCATCAGTATAAGATGTGTTTGAATCTTCATGCAAAGAATGGTTCAAAACCCTGGCTTATGACAAAGCAGGCTTGGCGAATGTATTCAGGTCAAGCTGCCAGCAGGGAAGGGAAGGGATAGCTCAGAGCTGTTCTTGTAACAGCTTCCAACTTTGCTGCAACATTGTGTCATTTAATCCCCCCTTTCCTCCAGCCCTGTCAATGTCAGCATCATACTTCAATATGATGCTTTGATTTTAAGGCTCTCCTTCGCTTTGAGAGTGCCCTTCTTCCCTTTGGCCCATTCCTTTCACAAACCAACCTAACTAACCAGCCAATCAGTCCATTGTTCTGGCTGGCAGTCCATTAGCCCTTCACTTGGTCACAACTTCCACACTCATTCTGAGTTCATTCTCGGATGTTCTTTGCTGGAATGACTTTCCTGCGGGACAGAAACGTCTGGAGAGTTTTGTGAAACTCACATGACTCCCTCTTCTTGGACTTGTAAGTCTCACCTACCAGCCAAAGTTCCTTTTTTCTATGTAACATGGTACCAGTGGGCTATTCTTAGCTATGGAAGAATTCAGAAAAATGTACTACTACTTACCAAATTACTCAAAAGTGTATTCTAACTAGCTGAGAAATTACTGTGGCAAAATGTAGAATGGGAGTGCCTGCTGGACAGGGGCTGGGAATCTGACCTGGGGTCGCATCAACAGACACCAAGACTTGAGGCAAGAAGTTGAAGAAAGGCGCACACCCTTTCTGTATACAATGACTTAGGCACACCAACATAGTGACATCTGGGTGAAGCTTAATGAAACTGTTTGTGCCTTGGAATTGTTATCCTTCATTAAGATAATAATCCTATAATTGCAATCCCTTCATAAAAGCTTCTCCCTCAAGAAGAATTTTCTGTCACATTCAGAAGTCCAATTAAATATGATTATAGCTAAGTTAAAAGAAAAACAAAACCACGAAGTGCCTATGACTAGGACAATAGGCCTGGGAACAATTTTTTTGTGGCTTTCTGTGGTGAGGAGCAGCTCACATCACCCTCTTCCCTGACAGCTCCTTGGCTACCACTGCCAACCAGCTGGGCTCCCATGTCTCCCATGCCAGTCCACAAGGCCCCTATATAATTGACTACAGGGGCTTCATCTCACATACCTTTTCTTCTTCCCAACCCCTGGGGCTCCTTGAACTGGTCCAGCCTCCTATGTCCTGAGGCTTTTCCATGTACCAGGCTTAGGGACTCCTAACTTCCATGATGTATAAAAACCCTACTTGCCTTCCAAGGTCTGTTTTACTTTGTCTTCTCTACCATGTTCTGCCACTACCAAATAAAGGCAGGAATCGAAGCCTCTATCACATCCAAACTGGTACACTGACATAACTATGCATCATACATTGGGCTCAGTTCTTCTTCTGATTCCCTTGCCATCTCACAAGATTCTAAGAGAAAAGATCCCATAGTATGCAGGGATCTGAAGCAGGTGCTTCAGAATTAAGGTTGGGGCACAACAGCATTCATTTAAGTAATCTGCCCCTAAAGAAGAACTTCGTCTCACAAGAAATATGTCACAAATGACAATGACTTCTTCCTGGATCTTGATGCATGCTCTAGCTAGCTGACTGTAAGCTCCATGGGTACAGTGGTACAGTCATTTGTTCAGTGCTCTCTCTTCACTGCCTAGAACAGACCCTGGCCTGAGGCAGGCAGTAGTCATTGCTGCAGGAGGGCATGCGTGTCTTCCTTGTACTGAATCCTGGGGGAATGAATGCCTGGCACAGCTCACACTGACTGAAGAGATGCTGAGTGAATGAATCCTAATCTAAGTGCTAAAACCAACCTGACAAAAGCCTCTGTCTCAGAAATACACCTGCCTTCCTCCTCTGAGGCCCCACCTCCTCTCCTTTGTCTTGGCTTCTGTATGTGACCCCAAGAAACAAAAAGAAGCAGTTTTGTATTACTAGAAGGAAAGGCTTCACAGAAATGCTAACAATATTAACCTTTCTCATGAATGCATTTAACACATCAGGTGACTAGAAACCTGGGGGGATCAGGAAGAAATCTGTTCAAAATGTAGACAATAAAAAAAAGGTACCTTTACATCTTTAAAAATCCCCAGACTGGCACATTTTTCCCCTTGAGAAGCAATTCAAAAGTACTCATGCTGTGCTTCAGCCCCGGCCTCCCAAACCCTTTCTTCGGTGCTGCTTGGCTTTCCTGGAGTGTCAGCCCACTTGTGCGTGCTGGGAGCAGCAGCTACCCACAGCATCAATAAACCTGACTTACACCAGCATCTCCAAATGCCAGTGTGGGTATGTCACAGACCGGATTCTGTCAATTTTGCTGGGGTACCAACCCTCTCTCCTAGGGGTCTGGAGGTTATACCAACCCCTGAAGGACATCCTTTTTACATGCTTTTCTCTTGTGTTTTCTGAAGATGACCAGAAAGAATCTTAGAAAGTGAACAAAGGGATTACAAATTAATCGGCTCTCCCTGGCTCCTCTGACTGCAAAGATATGATTACAAGCACAGGATTTGCAAGAGACTTACATTCCTCATTAATCTCCACCATCATTTCTATCACTGTGCTGTTTTCTCCCCCTCCTTTCAGCTCTCCCTTTTTAGGCAGAGAATGAGGGAGAGCTCTGTTCTTTCTTTGTTCAGCAGTAACTAAAAAATATGTCCTTAACATTTCAAAAAGCAGATCGTTCCTGCACTATAACCACTAAAGCGTGGAGGTGAAATGGTACAAGTGTCCTTTATGTCTCCATCTGTCTAAATTAATGAATTTAAGCATGGATAACCTCAACCCATGTTTTTTTCTTTTTTAAGAGCGTGCATCTGATAATCCAGAACAATTCCAGTGTCTAAGACTCTTCAGTTCCCTTACATTATACTTGCTTCTGAAAAGCGTTATATTTTAACTCTTCAGCAACAGGCAGAGAATGGTGGCTAAACTGCCTGTCCTGTTTCTGCTCTCTGACCATCTGGAGCTGGGTCCTGCAGAGAGAACAGGTCCCTGTATCTTCCTGCCAAGTTCCCTCCATGGGTCAGTACCACAGTGTGATCAAAAAGCAGTGGGTGCTTTTTCTCCTTCTCTTTTCCAGACGTATGTGTAACCTCCATTTGGGCAGAGGCTCTGCCAGTGACACTTGGGCTCTGGGAATGGTGACACATGCCCCTACTGAGAGTGGAGAGATTCCACATACTCAGAGCACTGAAATTTCACACCGGCTGCTCCTTACATCAATCCTGGCACACAGGTCATGGTGGTTGCTTGTCTGGATGTCACTGTGGCTCCTGATTCTGCTTTTTCCTCTCGCTAAAGAAATACCTGTTTTTGTTCTTCAAACTCTTGCCCAGCACAATGCTGAGTTCAGGGTTAGAAAGACAAATGGATGAGATATCCCCAGAGGGTATCAGAAGAAGCTCCATCAGAGGTCCATTTCCAAGGGTTCTGTTCTTACCTGGGTATGGCACTCTTCCTTTGGTGACCAGCTCTGTGAGTAAGATTCCAAAAGACCACACATCAGACTTGATTGTGAACCTCCCATACAGGGCTGCTTCAGGGGCTGTCCACTTTATGGGGAACTTTGCACCTGTGGAATGAAGACTTGGTTATTTATCAGGCAGAGGGGCCATGCTGAGAGACAAGGAAAGGAGAAGGTCTTGGAGGTAACATCTAGGGAGCAGATTTGGAGGGAAAGAGGCAAAGAGGAATAAAGGGGTGGAAGCTGGCTTCTTGACTCTATGACCACATGGAATGGTGGTGCAGGTTTAGTCTGGAATAGGTGATTAGGAAACTGATTTGTACATTGCTTCTTTTGTTTGGAAATAATGCTATATTTTAATAAATGCACAGGATTAGATCGCCAAGCTACCCTCATGAGCACTCTGGTATATAAGATCATAGTTTGGTCTTACGAGGTGCACAAAATCCATCAAACTACCAACCTTCTCCCAGGGTGGAGACAATTGGATGCAGCCCGTAAGTTATGTTGAAATAGAAATGGATTTTATTTCCCCAAGGCTTCCCACACCCACAGCTGAGAAATAATTTTGCCTTTGGCTATTTTCCAGCCTATATCTTTTTTCCTCCACCCTTTCTCCCTGTAGTGGTCATCTTTATCCTAGATAGTCTTTTTTTTTTTTTTCTATTGTGTATCATCCTTTTTTTCTAATCAAGGGACAGAGTATAATTTAATGTTTTTAATGTTTCTTTTCTTTTGAAGAGGCCTTATCTCAGTGATTCTTTTCTCTAGACTAAGGGGCAAATTCATGCCAAAGTCAGTAGAATCATGTCTTTCAAATTTCTCTGATCCCTAAAAAAACATCTGTACAAACCTAAAGGAAGGGTGGGGGTGCACCCTGCTCTTTACAATTCTAGATGTGTTCAGAGGGAATTAAAAGTGGGCCTAACAGCCTACATTCTCACATATTAGGCTCTGCAATTACAAAGCAGTTCCAGAACTTCCATTGAACAGACTAAAAGAAATATACATGGAATTTTTATTACTTTCGCAAACACAATTATATATTTAAAATATGTTAATTATGCATAGGAGCTCCTAAAAATCATACAAAGGCTGATGAAATCAGAAATTTTCATAGTATCTTCTATAAAAAGTCACTATGAGAAAAAATGGCAAATGATTAAAATCTTTAAATCAGTAAGGTTTTAATATCCAGAAGTATGATAAATTACAGCAATTAGACTTTTGCTTTAAATACAGTATATGATAGCAATCTTAGCAAATCTAGCCTGTCATTTTCTGGTGACATAATTTTTCTCTCCATCTCTTCTATGCTAGTATGAAATGAAATTTTACAAATTCTACTATTTTCTATGTGGTATGTCACATTATTGGAGCAGGAAAGTTAAGCTATAGTTTTCTTCTACTTTTATGCACTATGTTACATTTAATTATCTATGTTTCTCAAGCATAATTACTTTTTCTTAAGTGCTGATGATTCCACACCAAGACCTGGTACTGTCTGAAGTCATTCTGTTTTAAAGTTTGTTTCAAAGCGTTTGTCCAGGCACGTCATTCTATCCTGGGCACTCTGTTTCTCAGCTTTTCATTCTGAGCCAGGAGGATTAATGTGACAGATTTTCTAGTGTTAAGGGCAGATTTTGTCCTGGATCAAACCTCAGCTGGATTTCTCTTACTTGAGAGAATTAAAGGTACATTAAATTCATTCCCTATTTAAAGCTCTCTCAAGCCAAATGGCTTAGAAATTTCTGACCATCTCCAAAGCACATAAAACATCTTTCTCTATAGTGAAGATGATCCTTTAAATAAGAATGACAAGAAGAGTTTTTCTCCTTTTTTGGACTTGTACAACATTGGTGAAGATGTATGGGGTGGTGATATTATACAATCTCATTTTTTATTTTCTGAGAGAAATATTCTGTAATTTCAGATTTAAAAAAGACAATGTACTAGACATTTGCACTGGTCTGCTTTATTATGTTCTAATTTTATAGTCTAAAATAAAGAGAATAATAGGTAAACATTGAGAATATTACTGATATCATGGATCTCTGACAAGAAATCATTTTTAGATATGTGCTTTGACTTATTAGCAGGATTTATATAAATTTAATCTTTATTAACTTCCTAAGATGTGCAAGATTTTTACAATGCATTTACATATCAGTATTTAAACTGCTTTTTTGCTGAAAAGCACTGACACCTTACCTGAACCTACAAATTAACTAAAAGTAGGAGAAAAGGTGGCATCCTCTCTTCCATTTTGTATCTGTCTGCATTTACTTTGCAATCACCCTGGTTTCCAGGAAGAATGGGATTGGTCAGTAACATCTTTATAAAAAGGATGGAGGCAACTACCCAAAGGAAAGGAATAGCTGAATTAGTCTTCAGGACAAACCATCTACCAGGCAACCATGTCTTATTTATCCTAACCATCACTGTTCCCTTCAAGCGATGACAGTGACAAAGATTTCTCTAGAACCCCCCTCCCCCATAATCATCAACCAGGCCACACTTTGACCAAGCCTATTTAATAATTATACATATCCTTCTTCTCTTGCCCCCCCCCCAGTCTTTGTCTAGTCAAACCTAAAGCTTATGTCTATATCCTAAAGATTTCTGAAGATGGGCAGAAGGGTTTACTTTGCTTTTCCTGCAGCTGCCCAGGTAACACAATAAATCTAGTTTCTCTGCCCTTTACCATCATCTCTTTATTTGGATTACAGGCCTTAAATCTTCATTACCCCCACTCCAGTCTTCACTTGCTGGAGTCACTACCTGCCTGGTCTCTGATCAGATCTATGTAGCTCAGTCTTGCTCTACTTATCTCTCCAGTCTCTTATCATTCTCCCACACCTTTTCTCTTCTGGTGTCCTTGACCCCCTCCCTTCATCATCTGACCTCTGCACTGGCCTTCTCTAACTGACAGCTCCCAGATGCTTAGAGCCACAGGACAGGCAATTTTCTTGTCACTAGTCCCTACTCCACTGCCACCCTGTGGCAAACTCCTTTTCTTTTTTCTCTCTTGGTCTAAAGTGATACTTGTACAGGGAACAGCAGTTCCAGTAAGACTGGGATAGGTTTCTTAGCTTTCTCTATGTTACTATCTACTGAAGTACGAGTCATCTAAAATGTGTCTTGGTATCCTCCAGGGATGGAATGTCTTTGTGACTGGTCTATTTCCAGTACTGAGCTCGGTCTCTGGTGCACAGAAGACTCTGTAGTAGTACTGAGTAGATGACTAAGTACTCAGCGGATTAGCCATCTCATCTTCCCTTTCAGGTAAAATAGCCTTGATTTCTCACAGAGCTTATTACTAGTCTCTTGGTCTCTGATGAATCTTTTTGTCCTTGGTGGCAGCACCAGTGTCACTATCTGTCATCATATGGATGCAGTTGTTGGCAAGCTAAGAACTGCTTATTACAATGGAAAAGCACCTCCTACATACTAATGAAACCTAAAAACACCTGGAAGACTAGGCAGTTTTGTGTCAAATGTAATGGGTGAGTGTCCCTCTGAGAGATGTAGAGGGAGCCACAGACACTGTTTTAAGGGGAGTGTGGGACAGTTCATGAGCTGCAGTGGGGAGGAGGAGTGGTTATAGTAGCAGAAAATAATGTGGCAAGAGCCCTTGGGATATTCATAGCAAGAGAAGGGGGCAGATCCTTTCCTTAACAGGCTGGAGCCAAAGCTAATACCTGGATACCAGTCATCTCAACCTTCTAGAGCCCTGATCTTTCTTAGTAGAAATTGAGCTAATAACCATCTATGTTCCAAGTGAAAGATGGGGAAGTTGTGGTTTATCAGCTGTATTTGTGGACAAAACCCAACAATAAACAACCTTCCTACTGCTGAGCTGGTTTGCTCTCTCTTTCTATTTACATACTTCTGGAGTTTGGCCCTATGCAAGGTTCATATGGAGCGAATAGCTTAGTTTGGAAAGAATATAAAATAGATGAATGGCTACTATTGATATAGAAGATACAACCAAGTATTACACAATGGATACAAAGACAGCTTTTGTGAGGCTCTGCAAGGTACTCTAAGGGGTTTTGGTTTCTGTCCTAATGGTGATGGGAAGCCACTGGAGCTGGTGAGTGGAGACATGGTGACCGCTACCTCATTCTTCTCTATTGATTTAAAGCATGGAAGGCAGCATGTATCCTTACTTTGAGAATGACTGATGATGAGACAAATATGAAAGCATTGTAAGTTTCAAAACTGAAAAGCCATCATGACATTTCCACGCCTACAGGTGTCCACAAGCAATTAGCAGTTGGGTAGACCATGCTTCCAAAGTCATGGCATCATGTTTGTTTAACTAGTGGCTAGTATCACATTTGTGCTATATCAGATTATCCCTCAAACCTGAATGATATCCATAGTCTCAGGAAAAAAGGAGTTGAAGGTAGCAAACGCCAAGCCCCTGTGAAATTCAAATGCTTCCAAGAGAAATGAATTATTTCTGTAGAGTTTATTCTTTCCTGGTGTTTTTCCTTTCTTTTCAAGCATTTCTTCTGTCTCCACTGTATTCTCTTCTTCAGTCTCCCACTCTAATTACAAGTGTCTTAGAGGCCTGAGCGTTCCAGACATCTTTCTCCACTTACTCTCTCAGGAAATATACCCTCCTCTTATGACTACTCCTGCTTCTCATGCTTTGTGAAGGGGTGGACACACCATTCAGATTCCATCTCTCATCTTGGTTCCTTATTTCCAAATATCTATGGGACAAAGTCTTTAAGGAGTCTTATCTTTATTTCAAATCTACATATGCCTTTCCACGAATCACCTTACTATATTTAAGGTTTATGGATAAATTATAAAGTTAATTCTCTCTGACTTTCTATGATTCACATGGGTTTCAGTTTGGTTTTTTTTTTATTCACTATCCTTGTTCAGATCTCCATTCTGCAAGGGAGAAAATATACAAAAAGCTGTAACTTGTCTCTTTCTTAAAGGTCTCATATCTAATCTGTCACTAAGGTATCTTGTTTCCCACGTTGACATATCACTCCAAGTTGTCCTTTCCTGTTTAAGCTCACTGCCAAAAGTGGAGTTGGCTCATTACCTCTGTTAAGACCTCCTGCTGTGCCCCTTGCCTTCAA